CCCCCAGCAGAGCCACGCCCACCCGGCCCAGCCCAGGGGAAGGAAGGATGGGAGGGGGTGTGGCCAGGGAGGACACGCCCCCTCCTGACCACGCCCCTCTGGCCATGACCACTGACCATGCCGTCTGACCACACCCTCTATCCACACCCTTCCAGACCACACCCACCACTGACCACACCCATCACTGACCACACCCTGATCATCTCCATGACCACACCCATCACTGACCACACCCATCACTGACCACACCCTCTGACCACACCCTCATCACCTCCATGACCACACCCATCACTGACCACACCCTCTGACCACCTCACTGACCACACCCATCACTGACCACACCCACTAACCACCCCTACTGACCACAGCCACCACTGACCACACCCTCTGACCACACCCTGATCACCTCCATGACCACACCCATCACTGACCACACCCATCACTGACCACACCCACTGATCACCTCCATGACCACACCCATCACTGGCCACACCCACTGACCACACCCATCCCTGACCACACCCACTGACCACACCCACTGACCACACCCCTCACTGACCACACCCACCTGTGGGGAAGTTGTGTGTCTCAGCCGTGAAGGTGACGTGTCTCACACTGACCACACCCACTGACCACACCCATCACTGACCACACCCTGACCACACCCACTGACCACGCCCACTGACCACACCCATCATTGACCACGCCCACTGACCACCCCTACTGACCACACCCAACACTGACCACGCCCACTGACCACACCCACTGACCACACCCATCACTGACCACACCCACTGATCACGTCCACTGACCACACCCACTGACCACGCCCACTGACCACACCCATGACCACACCCCTCACTGACCACACCCACCTGTGGGGAAGTTGTGTGTCTCTGCCGTGAAGGTGACGTGTCTCACACTGACCACACCCCTGACCACACCCACTGACCACACCCACTGACCACACCCATCACTGAACACACACTGACCACACCCACTGACCACGCCCTGACCACACCCACCTGTGGGGAAGTTGTGTGTCTCGGCCGTGAAGGTGACGTGCCTCACACTGACCACACCCACTGACCACCCCCCCTGACCACACCCACACCCACCTGTGGGGAAGTTGTGTGTCTCGGCCGTGAAGGTGACGTGTCTCACACTGACCACACCCACTGACCACACCCCCTGACCACACCCACACCCACCTGTGGGGAAGTTGTGTGTCTCGGCCGTGAAGGTGACGTGTCTCACACTGACCACACCCACTGACCACGCCCTGACCACACCCACACCCACCTGTGGGGAAGTTGTGTGTCTCGGCGGTGAAGGTGACGTGTCTCACACTGACCACACCC